TTGTATTAGTAACTTTTTTGGTAACTTGTCTCTGCCTTGCCTTAACTATTGTGGCACATCTTGGTGCTTGGTAAAATTAAGCCAAAACTTCTGTAAGACTAGCATCTTTTTTATTATTTTGTGAAAATTGCTTAGGGACTATTGAAAGGCTTTTCCTACACCAGAAAAGCCTGATGTTTCCCCTTTTGAATTTTGCTGAGTAAAAATGGGTTTATTCAATGAAAAGTTATTTCAGGGCATTCATGCATGATTTGTAGATATGGTAATAAAATAAAGATCAGTTCACCAAAAATGTAAAAAAAAAAAAAAAAGAATGCCCACTAGGGCACAGCCCTGGAGGCATTTTTGGGTTTCAACTATAACTCAATGGATTTTTTCTGTATTGAAAAGGGTCAGCAGGAGTTGATAGCAAGAATATGGATGATCAGTCATCCCAAGGTGGCTGATGAGTCTAGAAAATAGATTCTGGGAGGTCAATTAGGACCTGGGTTTCTCTGAGTAGGATGGAGTATAGTGTTTCTAATTCAGAAGATCTGTAGTGGTGAAGGGCTAATACAAAAGATGGTTCTTCCCTTCTGAATTGTCCCATCGAGTACCATTTGTGGGGCTCTTCATGTTTCCCAGAGTGGTAGTTAAAAGGTCAGGGACAGGTCTTCCTCACGTAGAATAGAGAGTCTCTAGCATTCTGGCTTCTGTCTTAGAGGCTGGGGCCAGCAGGGGATTTGGAAGGGAATCAAGAGGGTGATTTAGTAGGAGGTGAAGAAGCTGGCACAAAAGGGGATGAGGAGGGTGACTCAGGAGGAGGTAAGGAAGATGAGGCCAATGGTGATGGGTGTCAGGTGCTTGTGGTGGTAAACGCACTGTGGGAATGTGTGGTGGTGGAGAATGAGGTCTTTCTCAGGGACATTCTTGTAAATGGGGACACCTTATCTTTTTGGATAGGAGAGTGTAGAGTACTGAAGAACCAGGACTTTGCATTTTCTCGGTCTTTGTGGTGGATTTTTCTACACCGGCAATTTTCTCTTCTACTTCTGAGATTCTATTTTCTGTATGATCTAGTCTACTTTTAATACTGTCAAGGGAGATTTTGACTTGACTTCCTATAGACTTCATCTCCAACAGTTCCATCTGATTCATTTGTAAATTGTGAAATTCCTCTTTTAGATCTTGCATGAATTTCCTTACCTCTTGGAACTCCTGAACTCCTTTCTCCTTCCTCTTCCACAGCTCATTGTCTCTCTCCTCTTCCATCTCTGTTAGCTTTGTCATTATGAAGGTTCTAAATTCTTTAACAGACATTTCCATGATTTCCATAGAACTGTCTGTGGCTGAAGAGGAGCTATCCTTTTCCCTTGGAGAAAAGGTATTTTCCTGCTTTCCCATCTGTTTCTTGTTCTGTTTCTTGTGGAACTGCGGTGATTTCTAGTCATCTGGAGGATGATGTGTTTCTTCCCAAACTTTGAAGTTCAATCTTAGCATTGAAAAAAGTGCAGAAAAGTTAACAGAGAGAAACAACAGCAACAATGATGCAAAACAAAACAGAACAAGAAACAGAGAAAAAGAAGACAAAACTAAGAAAAAAACTTTTAAATAAACTAAAAAAAATTTAATATTTAAAAAATTTTCAAAAAACCAGGAGCCATGAAGTTGTCTTCAAGAAGGCCTGTTTCCTTGCCTCTACTGGGTTTGGCAAAATTTTTACATATTTGGTGTATATATTTTGATGAGTTTGGATTTATCCCTGCAGTCCTGACACCATCAACACAATCAAGGTTCTAAACATATCTATCACCTCCCAAAATGTCCTTGTGTTCTTTTATGTGTGTGTATATGTTAAGAACACTTAGCAGAAGGTCATCTTCTTACCATATTTTAAAGTACATGTGTTATTAACTATAGGTAATATATTGTGCAGCAGATCTCTAGAACTTATTCATCTGTGTAACAGAAATATATATTGATTATGCAACAAACGCTCTTTCCTATATCTTGATTTTTTGAAGTGGGTCACCAAGCTGATGAGATTGCTCCAATTATCAAAATATGAGAGTGACATTCTGTACAGAAAGTGACACGGCACTTTCAAACCCTTTGATCTTTGATAGTGCATAAGACAAAAAAATTATATCTCATTGTTTGGGTTGGTATGTCTTTAGTTATGAGCCAGATTGCCTACCGTCTTCCCTGCTTATAAGCCTGGAGTCATTCCATTTCTAAGTTTTCATTTGTATTTCATGCTGCCATCCAGTACTTTGAGGACAAGAACAACACCCAACCTTTGTGGTCAGGGATTATATTATTAGTGGTGTTGCCAATGACATTTGGCAGTGGTGTGTAATACAGTGTTATTTCATTATGAAACCATTGAAAGACAGAGAACTTTCATTATTATTGTATGAGAGAAATTCTATCCATACCATCTAACAGGCACTGGGTTAGTATGGCAATACGGCATGATCTAGGCTCTGTAAAATGTTTGCATTTCTCTTTGAGGCCTGTTCTCTTGTCTCTCCTTGGTTGGGAGGGTGATAGGGAATTATCAAGATAAAGGGATAGGAGGGGTCAGAAAGCCCAGAAAATGCCTCACCTTAAAATCACCTTAAAAATTCTAAAAAGGAAAAGTTAAAAAAAAAAAAGAGGACAGAGGTAGAGAGAGACAAAGACAGATACAGAGACAGGAGGCCTGAGAGGGGTCTTCCTACCATGCGAGTTTGTGTGCAGGAGGCTGAATTATCAGTGGAGAAATCTTCATTTCTCTGTTTCCCCCCAAATGGCTAGTTCTCAGGAGCAATCTTAGCCTTTCGTTTTTAGTCTATGAGATGGGTTTCTTGTAAGCAGCAGATGGAGGGTTTCTTTTTCTTTCTTTCTTTCTTTTTTTTGGAGAGGTTTTGGCTATAATTCGCGTGCACTCACCAGAAAGGCAGAGAAAGAAATTAAGACAGAAAGCAAGAAGTCATCCCCCAGGGAGGATGGCCATATCACAATCCTCTCTCCTCCATTCTTCTCTTTGGATCTTGGGCAAGAACGCACACATGCCTGACATGAGTTTTAAGCTACCAGATCCGGGACTTGTACTGTGGTTGACTACATGGAAATTTAGTGACACGACCTTTATGCCAATTGCTGGTTTCTTTTTCTTTTTCTTTTTCTTTTTTTTTTTTTGCAGACGGAGAGTTTCTGATTTTTTTATTATTATTTTATTTAACTTTATTTTATTTATTTTAATTTAACTCTGCTCAGGGACAGAGAGAGAGAGAGCAAGCCACCAGGTCCAGGACTCGAATCGTGGTCAACCATGTGGGAGTCCAACACCCTTAACTGCCACACCACCTGTCAGCCCCAGGCAGTATATGTTTTTATTAAAAGGTGAAAACAAATCAGGTAATCATCCACATGATCTCCAAATAGTTCCAGACTTGTTCCTACTATTAAGTTGGCCGTATTCCTAGTTGGTTTTTGTTCTCTTATTGCTCTCTGTCTCTCTTTAGTTTTGTTATAATACTCCTTCCAAAATTTCTTAAAGAGGTGGTCTGGAGTTGGTAAATTCTATCAGGTTTTGTTTATCTGAGAACGTTTTTATTTTCTTTTCCCATATGAAGGATAATCTTGCTGGATATAGTATTCTTGACTGAAATTGCTTTTCATTTAATATTTTGAATATACTTACCCATTCTTTCCTTGCTTGCATTGTTTCTGATGAGAAGTTTGGTATTAGCTTGATAGGATAGTGTTTGTAAGTGATTTCATGTTTCTCTCTTGCCAATCTTAGTATCTTGTTTTTGTCTGTTGTTTTGGTTAGTCTAAGTATAATGTGGCATGGAGAGAATCTTCCTGGATTGATTTTACTTGGGGTTCTTTGTATTTCTTGGGTCTGCATGTTTGATTACCTCTCTAGGCTTGGAAACTATTTTTCCAGGATTTTGTGGAATAGATTGTCACTGCCCTTATTTGTTTCTTCATCTTCTGGGATATCAATTATTTGTATATTTGGGCATTTCATGGTATCTGGTATTTCTTGTGTTTTATCCTCAGTTTTCTTGGCTGTTTTCTCAGATTTCTTTGACAAATATTTTCTAGGTGATTGGTTTTGTCTTCTACTTCCAAAATTTAATCTTCTGCATGGACCTAGCCTGCTTTTGATACTTTTGAGGGAGGTTTTAACTTCCTGTATTAAAGCCTTCATTTCTAAGAGTTCCATTTGATTCCTTTTTATGGTGTCCAATTTTCCTTTCATGTTGTGGAAGGACATTAGGCCCATCTTTAATTTTCTTTATAATGATGACTCAATCCTGGCCCCTTTTGCTGTGGAAGGAATATCCTTTTGACTTAC